ATGATGAATATGGATGCTAAGATTCTCAACAAGATCCTAGCAAACAGGATCCAACAGCACATTAAAAAGATTTTCCACCATGACCAGGTGGGATTCATTCCTGGGCTACAAGGATGGTTCAACATTCGCAAATCAATCAATGTGAGAGAACAAATTAATAAGAAAAGAGAGAAGAACCACATGGTCCTCTCAATTGATGCAGAAAAAGCATTTGACAAAATCCAGCATCCGTTCCTGATTAAAACGCTTCAAAGTATAGGGATAGAGGGAACATTCCTGAACTTCATTAAATCTATCTATGAAAAACCCACAGCAAATATCATCCTCAATGGGAAAAAGCTTGCAGCCTTCCCGTTGAGATCAGGAACACGACAAGGATGCCCACTCTCACCACTCTTGTTCAACATAGTATTAGAAGTCCTAGCAACAGCAATCAGACAACAAAGAGAAATAAAATGTATCCAAATTGGCAATGAAGAAGTCAAACGCTCTCTCTTCGCAGATGACATGATTCTTTCTATGGAAAACCCAAAAGATTCCACCCCCAAACTACTAGAACTCATACAGCAATTCAGTACCGTGGCAGGATACAAAGTCAATGTACAGAAATCAGTGGCTTTCTTATACACTAACAATGAAAATACAGAAAGGGAAATTAGAGAATTGATTCCATTTACTATAACACCAAGAACCATAAGATACCTGGGAATCAACCTAACCAAAGAGGTAAAGGATCTGTACTTGAGGAACTACAGAACACTCATGAAAAAAATTGAAGAAGACACAAAAAGATGGAAGACCATTCCATGCTCTTGGATCGGAAGAATAAACATTGTTAAAATGTCTATACTGCCTAGAGCAATCTATACTTTTAATGCCATTCCAATTAAAATTCCACCGGTATTCTTCAAAGAGCTGGAGCAAATAATCCAAAAATTTGTATGGAACCAGAAGAGACCCCTAAGGGCTAAGGAAATGTTGAAAAACAAAAATAAAACTGGGGGCATCACGTTACCTGATTTTAAGCTTTACTACAAACCTGTGATCAACAAGACAGCATGGTACTGGCATAAAAACAGGCACAGAGACCAGTGGAACAGAGTAGAGAGCCCAGATATGGACCCTCAACTCTATGGTCAGTTAAACTTCGACAAAACAAGAAAAAATATACAGTGGAAAAAAGACAGTCTCTTCAATAAATGGTGCTGGGAAAACTGGGCAGCAATATGTAGGAGAATGAAACTCGACCATTCTCTTACACCGTACACAAAGATAAACTCAAAGATAAACTCAAAATGGATAAAAGACCTCAATGTGAGACAGGAATCCATCAGAATCCTAGAGGAGAACATAGGCGGTAATCTCTTCGATATCAGCCACAGCAACTTCTTTCAAGATATGTCTCCAAAGGCAAAGGAAACAAAAGCCAAAATAAACTTTTGGGACTTCATCAAAATCAAAAGCTTCTGCACAGCAAAGGAAACAGTCAAGAAAACAAAGAGGCAACCCACGGAATGGGAGAAGATATTTGCAAACGACAGTACAGACAAAAGATTGATATCCAGGATCTATAAAGAACTCCTCAATCTCAACACACACAAAACAGATAATCATATCCAAAAATGGGCAGAAGATATGAACAGACACTTCTCCAATGAAGACATAACAATGGCTATCAGACACATGAAAAAATGTTCATCATCACTAGCCATCAGGGAGATTCAAATTAAAATCACATTGAGATACCACCTTACACCAGTTAGAATGGCCAAAATTAGCAAGACAGGAAACAACATGTGTTGGAGGGGATGTGGAGAAAGGAGAACCCTCTTCCACTGTTGGTGGGAATGCAAGATGGTGCAGCCTCTTTGGAGAACAGTGAGGAGACTCCTCAAGAAATTAAAAATAGAAATTCCCTATGACCCTGCCATTGCACTACTGGGTATTTACCTCAAAGATACAGATGTAGTGAAAAGAAGGGCCATCTGTACCCCAATGTTTATAGCAGCAATGGCCATGGTCGCCAAACTGTGGAAAGAACCAAGATGCCCTTCAACGGATGAATGGATAAGGAAGATGTGGTCCATATACACTATGGAGTATTATGCCTCCATCAGAAAGGATGAATACCCAACTTTTGTAGCAGCATGGTCGGGACTGGAAGAGATTATGCTGAGTGAAATAAGTCAAGCAGAGAGAGTCAATTATCATATGGTTTCACTTATTTGTGGAGCATAACAAATAGCATGGAGGACATGGGGAGTTAGGAGAAGGCATTTGGGGGAAATTGGAAGGGGAGGTGAACCATGAGAGACTATGGACTCTGAAAAACAATCTGAAGGGTTTGAAGAGGTGGGGGGGTGGGAGGTTGGGGGAACCAGGTGGTGGGTATTAGAGAGGGCACGGATTGCATGGAGCCCTGGGTTGGTACAAAAACAATGAATACTGTTATGCTGAAAATAAAAAAAAAAATGATTAAAAAATTAAAAAAAAAACGATAGTAAGTTTTATATGTTTTACCATAATAAAAAAGAAAAAAAATAACTATTGGATTATAGCCCAAAGTATATAATAAATATTCATGAGTCCACCTTGATATAAATAAGTGATTAAACACATAAATAAACAAATAGTGAGAAGGAAGAGACAAATTTCCCATACAGAAAATTCCAAATAATTTATGTTGATACTTCACCCTCAGTGACAGGGAGCTTACTCCCTATTTCACATGGTGACTTCCTTCCAAACAATACACTATAGAAAGATGGGAGATGAGGGGTAGGTTGAGGAGAGTTTAACTTCATAGTGGGAAACCCGAAACACACTACATCAGTAAGGAGATCAAAGTGATAAATCATGTTAGGAGTATGTGCTTTTCATATAATGGAATGACAATGGAACTTTACTTCTGTACTTTTCCTCATAAAAACCCATAACTTCAGTCTAATCTTATGATTAGAAAACATCAGACAAACCCATACTGAGGGATAGTCTACAAAGTAGCTGATCTGTACTCCCCCCCAAAATGGTCAACATCACCAAACACAAGGGAACTCTGAGACACTGTCAGTCACAAGGAACCTAGGAGACAAGATGACTAAATATTGTGGAGTATCTTAGGTGGGATCCTGGAACAGAAAAAGACATTAGGTTAAAACTAAGGAAATTGGAGTAGGTCATGAACATTAGTTATTATCTCAATATTGTTTTGTTAATAGTAATAAGTGAACCATATCCATGTAAGATGTTAATAATATGAGAAACTGGGTGTGAAGTGTGTGGAAACTCTCTGTACTAGATTATCAACTTTTTTGTAAATCCAAAGCTGCTCTAAAAAATAAGGTCTATTTAAAAAACAAAACAAAACATCAAAACCTAACTCTCCAAAGAAAACGAGTGCATACTCTGAGTTTTTTCTGATTACTTCTCCCTTTGTCCCAATATTCCTGCCCAGTCTTACCCAGACTTCTCTTAACTTTTGTTCTGTTAGGAGGACTTGAACTCATCCTCATCCTGTAAGTACAGATGTCCCTTACTTACTATGGCTGGACTTACGATTTTTTGACTCTGCAATGGTGTGGAAGCAATATGCATTCAGTAGAAACCATACTTCAAATTTTGAATTTGGATCCTTTCCTGAGCTAGCAATATGTGGATGATACTCTCTTGTGATACTGGGCAGAGGCAGGTAGCCCCAGCTCTCTGTCAGCCACACAATCATGAAGGTGAATAGCTGATACTCTTATAGCCATTCTGTACCTATACAACCATTCTGTTTTTCAGTTTCAGTGCAGTGTTCAATAAGTTGCATGAGTGCCATTCAGGTCTTCTGGGTCTAGCTGCCTGTGGACGTCTCAACAGGGATACCCCCGGCATACCCTCATGGCTGTGGTAAAATAGAGTTAGGTGGCTTGAGATAACCTGCCTGAAATGATGGGGTTAAATAGTTAAAAGCAGGTAATTTGAAGAATTAAAGGGAGAATTTTCCTCAGGAAGGAGAAGGCCCCAAGTCCTGGTGTGGTTGATGGCAGTAAAGGCTACAGAAATGTCAGGGAGGGTAATGGCTACAGTGGACTTGGATCTGTATATCTCCAGCCTACTGAGAACTTCCATGATTCCAGTGGGCCCAACCTTTACTTTCTCTAGTGACTCTGTCACTATCACTCGTTAGGACTACTCTTGAGACTCTCCTCTTCCCACCTTGCTCAATTCTGCTTCTATCACTTTTCTAAAGTTTTCCTTAGCCAAGTAGACCCCCATAAAACTCTTAGAAGCCATTCTACAGAAGAAACACCAAGGAAGGGACCAGAACCAGCTGAAGCTGAAGCTCCCATACCTACCTCTTTGATATCTTCCCAGAGCCCCTCCCAAAGTGAGGAGATGGGAGATCAGAGGTGCTGGACTGAGCTTACCAGGGACTAGGTTGGACCTGGTGTGTGGTGTAAGGCAGTGTTGAACTGAGGTGGGCAGATCCTCCTTCCCCCAAACAGATTAACTTGTCCCTGTTTCATGACCAGCAATTGGCAAGCATTGCTTTCAGGTCTATGAGTGAAGTTATTTCAGTTTGGTATTGGTTTGGTTTCCTTTTAAGAAACTCATGAATAGGGGCACCTGGGTGGCTCAGTGAGTTAAAGCCTCTCTGCCTTTGGCTCAGGTCATGATCCCAGGGTCCTGGGATCCAGCACCGCATCTGGGCTTTCTGCTCAGCAGGGAGCCTGCTTCCCTTACTCTCTCTCTCACTGCCTGCCTCTCTGCCTACTTGTGATCTCTGTCAAATAAATAAAAATTTTAAAAAATCTTTTAAAAAGTCATGAATATATTGGGTGGTTTGGGGAGCAGAGTTAAAGAATGTCTTTCTTCCTTTAGGAACTGGCCAAGAGAGTCTGTTGCAACCACTGACCCACACACAGCTTTTTATATGGTGAGAAACAGAGGAGAAAAGACAAAGAGAATACAGGATCCCAGGACTTCCAGGATTTATTCTGTATTATTGTACACACTCACATATTCAACTATAATAATGGGAACAAAGTCAGAGTTAGTGTAGTAACTGTCTCTTCAGGCAGAGGTTCTGGCCACCAGAGGTTGGGACTGAGCTCATCAGGGGTGGTTCCTGGACAATACCTTCCCCTTCCCTCAGCCCCATTGAAGAAACAGAAGGACAGGGTCAGGCAGGTTCACAGATGAGGCAGGCCTCCCAGGCTGGGGACCTGAGATTAGTGAGGCCACTGGCTCTTTCTTCACTTCTGTGGGATGGCCTGAGAGCCTTTGGAACATTAGGGGGTGCTTACTTATGTTTTGGGGGGCCATACACCTTCTGCTTCTGCTGTTGCTGCTCTGTCAGGGGTAAGACTTCTCCCTTCAGTGGCTGAACCAGCTGGGTTTCTTGGACCTCACCAGGAGCTGGGACAATTGCAGGCTGATCCACCTGCCCCTCCTGCTGCTCTGCTGGCTCTGGCTGCTGCTCCTGTTGTTCTAGGAGCTGGTCTTCTTTCTTTTCCAGTGGCTCATTTCTCTTTGCTAGCTCTTGATCCTGTTGCTGGTCCAAGAACTTTTTTTCCTGTTTTAGCTCTTCCTTTTGCTGCTGTTTCCTTTGTGCTTTCACCTGCTCCAGCTGCTGCTCCAGATTTTTTGCTTCCTGATGTTCCTCACACTGTTCCTTTTGCTGCTGCTGTTGTATTTTCTGTTCCTGTAGCTCCTCCTTCCACTGTTCCAGATGCTGTCCCAAGTGTAATTCCTGCTCCTGTAACTCTTGCAGCTGCTGCTGTTCCAGATGCTCTTCCAGGTGAAGTTCCTGTTCCTGTGATTCTTGCTGCTGATCCAGGTGCAGTTCTTGCTTCTGTGACTCCTGGTGCTGCTGCTGCTGCTGCTCCAGATGCTGTTCCAGGCACAGCTTCTGTCCCTGTGTTTCTTGTTGTTGTTGCTGCTGTTCCAGGCACAGTTCCTGCTGCTGTGATTCTTGCTGCTGCTGTTGCTGATCTTCCAGATGCTGTTCCTGCTGCTGTGATTCTTGTTGCTGCTGGTGCTGCTGTTCCAGATGCTGTTCCTGCTGCTGTGGCTCACCTTGTTGCTCAGATACCCCCTTCACAAGAGTGGCGTGTTTCTCCCCATGCTCCAAGAGGACCTCCCCTGGGAGCTTGGAGGGCATATTCTGGCACAAGGCAGGTAGTGAAGTTGGTTGTTTCACTTGCTCCTGCTGGGTATTTATGGGAGGAGAAACAGGCTTGAGGGGCTCTTGACTGAGGTCAGGGGGCAGGGTCACTGGCAGAGTATGTTGCTGGGACATCCTGGAAGCTGATTTAGATAAGCCTGAAAAACAGTAGGGGTCAGAAGGGTGACTAAAGGCAGATGGAGTGGATGAATCCCCAGAATCTGCAGAACGGTCTGGTTTCTTAGCATCCCTTCTCCTTCCTTGTATTGGGGCTCTCCTATCCACTCTGGGCTATGTTTCCCAGAAGCAACAGAGTGAAGGGGAGGAGGGGAGGGCTGAGAAAGTCCCTCCTGGGAGCCTCTTATTCCCAGAAAGAGCCAAAAAAGAGGTCCATCTTCAGAGTTACTGGGTGACAGTGGACTGGGTGCCATTTCTCGCCTCTGTCCCTACTTCTGACCTCTACTGATCAAGAAAGGGAGATGAGTTCTGGGGTTCAGATGGGAAGAGGTGAAGTCCTAGGAAAAGAGGGGTACTCCAGGACTCCTGAGTCTTGGAAAATCAGTCCATGGACACACCTGGACTACTCACACAACATAGTATCAGCTTAAGTGTCCCACTAAAAGATTGCATGTTTCTGAGCAGGTCACTTAATCTTGCTGGACCTCAGATTTTCCTCTGCAAAATTAACAGATTGGTCTGTTCAACTCCAGGGGTTTCTCTCATGACCTTCAGAAATTTAGCTGCAAAGCTAGCACTTGGGGGATGGGGTGGGGGGAGGGGCTAGAAAGTTGCTGGGAAGTGGAGCCAGTTCGTTCAAGTCCTATACTTCTGAGTTGGGTTTTCCAGTTCCTGCTTTGCCTGGGTTTCTCCAAATGATTTCCCCATTTTGCCGTTCTCTCTTCTGCGGCATAACAAGAGTTACATGCATTTTCCTCAAACCCCTGCCCCCAACGAAGGCACAATCACAGTCAGCCCAAATCAAATATCCCCATCTTACCTCTTCTCTCTCTCTCTCTCTCTCAGTCTTTCACACACACACACCAGAACACCAAACCAAGGAAAAATGGGACAGGAGGGAAGGGGATTGCTTTGAATTCTGTGTTTCCATGCCATGACATGTCATTTAGCATAGTGACCTGAGCTCTCCTAGAAAGACACGTAGTCTAGGTGAATCCAGCCTGAGAGTGATACATGCACCCACCCAGGCTGGCCACTCTAGCCATATTCTGGTGTGTTAGATGTCCCTGGTGCCAGCCCCAGTCCTTCCAAGTAATACTTACCAGACTCACAGTCAGGACAGCTGCAGAGGCCTCTAGTGGAATTCTGAGCTGAGCAGGGGCCAGGGTTCCTTTTATATGGTTCCCCAGCCCAACTTCCTTCCCTGGTTGAAGGAGATGGACTGGTTTCACCACTCAGGTTGGTCAACTTCCTTCAGCCCCTTCCTGACTCATCCCAGGCACCTCAAGCAGAAAACCCCTCAGGGCTCCTTTTCACAGAGACACCCAGAGAACTGTGGGGGCTCTGTCACTCCTGTGATACTCATCTGACCTGGGCATGGGGAGGCGAGGGAGGTATCTTGGGAAACTAGTCTCCTTTTCCTATTGCTTTGTGACCTCAACCAAGCCTTTTCTCTGAATCTTAATTTCTTCACTTGTAAAACATGTCATCCTGATAATTAGGCCTGGAGATTCATTTCCAAGGGCATGGAATGGAAAGTTATGTGTTTCTATGGGATGTTCAAGCTGGAGTAAGTGATGTCAAGGTGAGAAGAATCACATCTCATGAAGGGATGGGGTTGCTGGAGATTCTTTTGCTCACCAGCCTATGTCCTACTCTTGGGATGTATCTATAACTCCATTCTGTATGGAAATAAACCCTATCCTGAAGGAGTCAGATTTTAGACCAGAAGGGTCAAGTAGAAGGCTTGTAGAGGTCTTCTGCTGTGAGCTAGGGGCTACTTAGGTCCCATGCCCAAGTTTGTAGTTAGAGAAGTTCTCAAGAAAGCCATACTCATAAATACTCCAAATCACAGACCACTCACACAAGGAAACAGGTATTAAATAATATAATATATGATAAATATTGCTTTTTATTGCTTTTTTTCCATAATTTTTTTAGAATGCATAAAGACATAAAGCTCAAAACCAAATTATCCATTGCTTTCTCCAAATCATTCTCTAAAAATAACTTAAGCAACTCTTCAGGGTGGGGGTTGGAGCTTATGCCTCCTCAATGCCAAAACTGAAACAGCTCATCTGGAATAAAATAAAAATTCACTGCTATGGTTTCAAAGGCCCTCATTAGGTATCCTCAGTACCTAGGAAAAGTCCAGTTTTCCTCACCTCAGGGTTTAGTGTCTGCAATCTTGGCCCACAGGCTTCTTCAGGGTCCCTGGCTCTTTGCATCTTTTGTCTTCTGATAAGTGCTGGGGTCTGCCAGAGAGCATTCCTTGACTCCCTACTTGTCTTCTGGTTTACTTCACTTCACTAATAACAGTTGAGAGCCCTTTTTGTATTTGTTCACCTGTTTCTTTTTAGTCTTTCCCACCAGAAAATAAGCTCCATAAGGAGGGGTTTTGCCTGCTATGTTTTCTGCCATGTTCCCAGAATTTGTCATAACCACCACATATACAAAGTGCTCTATAGATACTAGTTGAAGGAATGAATGAATGGTGAATCTGAGCATCTGGAGATAGCCACTATTAAACTTTTTAGCATTGTGCATGTACACATGTGTATACAAACAAAATGGAATTTTGGCTTTGCTTTTCTTTGTAATGATTGAGTAATAGCTTATTTTGAAGACATCATTTACTTAAACTCTCTTCTTTACAACCTAATCAAAAGGAAATATTAGAATAATATGAAGGCAAGTACTCATTTCTGGAGTGCTAAGTTTAGTAAGTTAAGTTAAGTAAGTTAAGTAAGCTAAGTTTAAGGAGTGTCCCAATTCCCAGTGGTTTGCTGATATGTACCTCCCTCCCAGCCCCAAATGGATCTATTTATAATGTTAATTTTTCCATGTGCCTGGGGCTCATGGCAAAAAGACAGGTGGTTCATTCTCTCCCCTGGAATACTATCCTTTACCCTTGTCCAATCTGTTCCCTGAACCCACCCAGGACCCCACACTCCCTGTAGCACAGGGATAAGCTATCTTCTGAGGTAGGGAAAGCCCTCTTCACACCCTCTGCCTTCCCCCTCCCCCATGAAGAATTAACCAAGTATCCTCACATGAGCACCCATGACTTGCATTCAGATGCTGACCTCACATGGGAGGAATCTGCCTCTCCCCAGCTCTTGACAGTCAGTCCCAGGACAGCAGGCCTTGCTCAAGGAAGTCACACCGGTCTTATGGGTTTCTAGGGGCTTCTATCTGCCAGATCTGCCTCCCGCCCTCTGATTCACAGCATAATGAGAGCTTTGAGGGGAGAGAGTGTGTGTGAACCTTTGGCCACTGGGCAAAGCTAGGGTGTGAGGAGAAGGGTGGATCGGGGAGCTGAGGGAGTATCTGTGTGCAGGGGACAGGTTGGAGAAGCCTCAGCATTTAAGGGGTTCAGAGGTCCCATTCTCTGCCCTCAGATTGCCCCATTTAGGAGCCAGAAATAGATGTATATGGGGGAGATTCTCTCCATGTCTGTGTGAGTGATCTCATAAGCCGCGGGTGCACATGATGAGTCTGGGTAACTGTCCAGCCCCCGCCCAGTGTAATGAGGATGAGCTCATATCCCATGACACATGGAAGAGGCCTTGACCCTAGCTCTTCCCTAACCCAGGGAGGCTGGATATTTCTCTCACAGCAGCAGAAACTGGCTGGGTTCTCCTTCTCTCTGAGGGAGACAGTCCATTTGAATTATTGCTTAGGTATAGGGGAAGTATTGGTTACAGCATTTTACTGCCTTGGAGGGAGGATGTCAAGGATAGCTCTTTGTAAACTGGCAGTATGGGGTGATGGCAGATGGTCCAAGGCAGGTGACTGTGGTCCCATCTTAGATAGCAATGTCTAAACTGTTTCCTGGTGAGACAATGCCCCCCACTCTCTAAAGCCGCTAAGTTGTCCTTGCTCCCCATAGGCCTCCTCCTCTGACCAGGTCACTGCCACTCACATCATCTCCCAATCTGCCACCCTCACTGATAGGCTCCCCACATGCCCTGAACCCTCCTTATCTGCCTTCGCAGCCTCCTGAAACTGACCTCCTCTCCTCATTCTACTCTTGAGCCCATCTGCTGTTCTGCGAGCAACTAAGGCAAGGAAGGGAGAAGAGAGGGCCAAGAGCTGATTCTTCCTCCCTGTGCTCTGGGTTGGCTAGGGTGATATTCTCCATTAATCATCCTCTGGCTTCCCCTCCTTGTCCTGTGGGATTGCTAATTCCCATGTTCAGTCCCCAGTGCTAGTGGCTGTAGAAAAGCAGTCACAGTTCTGCTCTTGGAACAGTAAGAGGAGCAAAGGCATAAAAGGCTAACAGTAGTGGAGAAATACAGATGCTCAATGCCCTCCCCCTCCAGCTGGCAGGGTGTCCTCCCCCTTGGGTTCACTGTTTGGGCAATCACATTCTTTGTAGTTAAACCTCTGCACCAGGATGCAGCAATGTGCCTGAACTAAGGGGACTTAATTCATAGGGAAGGCCTCATCTGGTGTCTGGTGCACAGGAGCTTCCTAACACAGCCTGGTACTTGCGAGGGGGCCAAGCCCCTGTAGTGATAGGTGGGCACTGAAGTCTGGAGACGAGACATGAGTTGCCTAAGGACCCACAGATGGTCTGCAGTTGAGTTGGGCTGAAACTCACATGACACTGATCTCCATGTAGTGGACTCTCTTCCCCAGCAGGCTGTCTCCCCAGGTGCCTGAGTGTCTGGTGGCAATGACAGGTTGCATGAGATAACCTCAGATATTTTCCAACTTTGTGAGTCAGCCATTTACTGACTGATCCTATTGTGGTCAATTCTAAGTTTTCTGGAAGAAATGCCAGTCTTCTCCGGCTCAAATTCAGTCAAAATGTGCTTGGGTTGACCCTCATTAGTCCAGCTCTACTTCCTGGCTGGTGCTGATGTTAATTTTAGCCTAATCCAACCAGGAGGATGTTACTGTTGAAGGAAGGGCACTGGCCTTGAAGTAAGACAGGCCCAGGTTTGAATCTCATTGTACCTCTTGTTATCTGGACAAGTCACATTTACTCTATGGTCCTTAGTTTCTTTGCCTATAAAATGGAGATACAATTACCTCCTTCTCTTCCTGTAAGGATCTGGTGAGGGAATACATATGGCTAGCACATAGATTGCACTCAAACTGGCTGCTTTGGAATGCAGTGTGTTACTGGCCTAAATATAGAGTTTAAAGGATGCAAGTTATTAAAAAACTGTCAATTTTAAGTTTCTCATTTTGCCAGTGGGAAACCTGAAGCCCCAAAGTCCCACAGTACATGGGAGTAGAGTGGAGACAGAAGCCAGATCTCCTGATTTCCCATTTGCTCCTTCTGGCTGGCCTGCTCCTGAGCCTCAGGTGTTGCTTCAGCTCAGCCTAGGAGACTGTGCATGTGAGGCCCCATGAAGACTGATTGTGTTCTCTCATACTGAGCTCACTGAAGAATCCAAATGGGAATGCATTCCTATGGTATGATGGTTCCTGGAAGAGCCTGGGGTCCTGCGTGGGCAGGGGAGAGGCAGCCAGCAGAGAGGCAGCCATTGGAGTCTAAACTTGATGTGGACAAAAAAAAGGGAATCCAAGTGACAGCTGAGGAGTATACAGACAGCCCCATGGGGCCAGTGATGGATGCCAAATTCTCTGCCAACCACAGAGAATGCAGATGATGGGCAAAGAAAATTTAGTATAAGACTTTACCCCAGCTGTGTGCAGTATCTGAAGGCAGTGCCTAGAAGAACACATCTGGTAGAAGGTAGAGAAGAAGAGTGACAAGGCTACAGGTAGAAGGAATAGGGAGGGACATCACAGAGCAGAGACAAGAGGCAAGTGCAGAACAAAAAGGGAGAGAGAGACCAAGCCCAGCTGTGTACCCTCCTGAGAAGGGGTGCCAATGGTCAGACAAGTCAAAGGAGGCAGGGGCACCTCAGGACTTGGCCAACCTCTTGGTTTTACACTCCCTACCCTTCCGCCTCCCCTACTAATTAAGGAGTAAAGGGGGTGGGGGACACCTGACCCTGCATCAGCTGCCTCCTGAGAGGAGTAATTGCTCTTAAAATGACTTTTGAAAGGGGTTGCATATATAAGGAGTATGTGCATGCACAGGTGGGTGTGTAGGAGTGTATAGGAGTGTGTGTGAGCATGTGCAGGTGTGTGTGGTGGGGGTGATTTGG